CAAGAAGTATACTTGTATGAGAAAGCCTAAATAAAGAAATTTCTAATAAGATTAGTATTTACTTGGAACAGGTTTCATACAAAATTAGGAGTACCCTATTTTTATTTGCCAAAGCTCTGAATAATGGTTACTCAAAACACACTATATAACATACTTTGGCTTTCCTGAAAGGTGGGGAGCAGCTTCAGCTTTCCTGCTAAACTAACTGGAACAGAAGAAGCTGGCACCTTACTTGTTTAAATCCTTCTTAAACCACAAAGTTGGTAGCTTATTTACTTTATCAGCAAAATTGGATTCACAACACCTTGATGTCACTCACCTGGGTAAAGTTCTCTCAGCTAACAGCCTGGGAGTTGCAAGTTAGGTTTTATTCTTAAGATTGCATAATACTTATTTACAACACCTTGATGTCACTCACCTGCGTAAAGTTCTCTCAGCTAGTAACAGCCTGGGAGTTGCAAGTTAGGTTTTATTCTTAAGATTGCATAATACTATTTAGACTTCCTACAATAACCAGTTTCACACAAAGACCTCAAAGTCTCTGAGCAACCTTTAATGTAGATAAATACAACTGTACCTATAAAGTAGAAGCTCAGAGGGATTTGCTCAACACACAGGGAGAACTTGCCTGTGATCACATAAAATGTATTTTATCATTACGATGGCCAGCTGCAGTGGAGCACCTTTACAGGCTCTGTAAACCAGGGAGGTTTTACTATTTCCTGAGGCTGTAACTAAACATATTCTATTTTTTTTTTTTTTCCTTCACACCCAGCGTACCAATTACAATACCCACACAGAATTCATTACATTTTTTTGATTCTCCAGTACAAGGGATCCCAGAGAAAAGCTATATCAAATCTGGTAGTATTGTGTCAAGGACCTGTGCAATTTTCTTGGTTAGACTGCTCAGGGAATTATCTTGGCTTGTGCTATAGAAATTTAGAATTATCCTCTACCTTTTTCAAAAATACTTCAGAATTATCTACCTACAGCCAACAGCTGCTTCCCAATGTGACTGCCAGTTTCAATGAAGAATCTCTTCAACATCCTGCAGAACCCATTTCTGGTACACTACATCCAGCTTTACTGAAGCAAATGCAATAGTTTTAAGATCTATGTCTGTTCATCACTGAAGGCTCAAGGAATGAGAAAAGGGAAAGTACAGTTCCTTCTGCCCCGTGCACAACAGCAATACCTATCCTATGAGGAATCTGGAGACCTGCTCCTTATTTCAATTTATAGTGCCTTTTAGCTCTTCCTCTGTTACCTTTGAAAGAAAAGAAACTAAAGCTCATGATTATCTGTAACAGTGCAAGTCACAAACCCCATCCTTTGAAAACTGACTGCCCCGTTCCTTCCAATGGCTCCTTCCCAAAACACTTGGCAAACGGAGTCCCTTCAGACACGATGTGATGGACAGCCCAGGATGGTGAGCAGAGCAGAGGCTCCTGGTCTGAGCCACAGCTGGCCAGGAGCTGTCTGCAGCCCGTGTCTGCCCCAGCAGCACAGCTGGGAAGGAGGCACACTCACCCTGACTTAGCTCACTGGCAGAGTAACAAGCCACAGACAGTAAAATTCCCCAAAAGAAGCAGAAGTTTAGAAGGGTTTAATGCTGTTTTACTTTATTTCTACCTTATTTCACTCCTTTTGCATGACCCTTATTTTATTCTTTAGTTTAGCAAGGAGCTGGTGTGGCCAGCTGTGCTGTGTTCTTTTGGATAGGGACTCATGATGACAACAGGGATCACCTCTGGGGGAGCCAATCCTTCCAGCATTCCTCTAATGGGCTACTGCAGAACTGGTATGACTTCTGAGTTCAAAATCACCCTGAGCAATGGCTTGAAATATGGCTTAAAATGGCTTAAATAATGTCACATCTCCAGGATGATTGGACTCATTAAGTAACAGTTGGAGATTACAGAGGAAGCAGAATTAATGAAAATAGGAAGCTGGTTCTTTTATTTGTCATACAAGAGTGAGAAGTAAATTTTTTAACTCTATACAGAAGCATAATATGATGATCTATAAAAAGGGAAACAAAGACAGAATGCAGTCTATTCACAAAACGGCTTTGTATGAAAGACTAAAATTTGAATATTTCAAAAGATTTATTTATTTTCTGGGATAGTATGTAGGCTTCTCATCAGCTTCCCCCTGATTTATTTTCAAATAAACTAAAATATTCCTGATGGAAAACCAATTTTGGTGAAAGAAAATTTTCCTAAGTGACTGAAACACCAGCAAAAAAAGTTGTACAACATCCAGCCTCTTGTAATCAGAACACCTATGTAAGGTTTGTAAACCTCTCTAAGTCATGCATTCATTTCAGGAAATTGTTATGAGCTTAAGAAATCCTTAGAAATTTATTATTCTTTGATCCAGGTCAGCCTGTGTTTTTCTGAGTTTGAATTATACATGTACCTAATTTTAAAGCATTCAGAAAGTCAGGAAAATACAAGAACATGCTTCAAGAACAATGGTCAAAAATACAAACAAATACCAAAGATGAGAGCCACTGATCATCTTACTCTTACATTTAGCTGTAGAATTGAATACTGTGCTCTTTAGATTTAGGGCATTAAAAGTATATTTACAGATTCCTGCCAGATTTTTGTAAAATTTTGTTTCATCCAAGACTGGCTGTGTATCCCACTAAAGAGGAACAGCAGATTTGCTTGCAATAGCACAGATGTATAGAAATGGAAATATGGAATAGGTGCACTGTGTCACAAATGGGATTGCTCTTCTTTGCCACAAATCCCACTCTGAAGGAAAGGGTACAGATCTCGAGTAAATCTGCAGCTGGGACTTGCTGTGTTGCAGAAGACAGTGTGTGCAGAAGTCACTACATGGGACTGGGGCTGACTTGTACAACCCATTTGCAAGTTAAAATCCTCTGCCAGACTTGTTGCTTCATTTAGAACTAAGTCTACAGGATTGCAATGTCAAATCAAATAATGAGTTGACATTGAAATAATATAAAAATATATTCATGTATTACTATCTCAATTACTTAACAAAATCTCCAGGACATTTGCAAACATTTTCTTTTAATAAAAATAACTTTTAAAGTGTAGGAAAACAGGAGGATGCAACAGGAGATGAATGGGGGAACATGACAACTGTTAGAAAATGTTTGCATCAAGAATACATGACTCATCTATAGCAGATGTATCTGCACAAATATTGATATATTTTTATCTATATATCATAGTAATTGCCTTGAGGCAGAATTATATAAATCATCATTTATGGAAAACCCTCAAAGGAATTACTTCCTGTTATTTAAATTTCATCTCAAGAGCAAAGATATGCCATAAGAAAATTGCCCAAGATTTTCTCTCCTGTACGTATGCAAATATTCGTACACTCATTTTTCTCCCTTTACTTGACATTTACTTTGTTCACATCCATGATATGGCCCTTCCTTCTCTGTTGGAGAGGGGGGACATGAAGCCAAACAAGTTAACAGTTTATGTTCCTATCTGTAGTTCTCGCATCTTTTTCCATTTATGATCAGTGCTTATATTCACATGTCAAGCTCAGCACAGTACTAATAATCCTAAATCTTCCAAAACAATTGTTTTGGCTATTCTCTTCCTTTTGGACAAACAGAGAGAACACAAGCTCTGGGTGTGAGTCTCCTTTTGCAGAGTTTGGGTCTTTACTGCTGAACAATCATGTCCCTAGCTGAGAACCATCCAGAAAAGTCCTGGGTAATAAAAATTCTCAACCTTAGAAGGCAGCCTTACACCCATGAGTGTAAAGAGTTCCCCAGCTTGTTATTATCTCCCCCAACATCAGCTTTCACTCCACAGAGTTACTTAATGCAAGTCTTGAAGGCAGCCAACAGGATAACAAAGTATTGTGGGTCCAGGCACTACAAAGGAAATTTACCCCAAATCTATCTCATACAATTTTGCACACACTCAGAGGCACAACACACCCCCCACAGATCCCTTCAAGTGGCTCATAATCCTCATAACACATTGGTTAGGAGAGGCAGACTTTCCAATACTTGATGAATTGGTATTTAAAACACCAATTTTAACACCTGCAAAGGTGTTTAGAACAAAATTTGAATTTCTATTTTAAGATAAATGCAAATTTATGACACAGTAAAAAGCAGCAGTAGTGTCTTCAGAAGCAGTACATGTGGATAAGTATCCAGGATTTAAATGAGATTGCATGCTTATGCAACTTAAAACAACTACAAAACTGTAATGGAAGTACAGTCTATGTAGATAATGTGGTTTTGTCCCTTCCCTGCCTGCATCTTGTATAAAAATTATCTGATGGGAGTGCCACTGGCAGTGGCTGGGTTCCTCACTAGACAGCTGCTGAGGGAAGGGGAGCATCTTTGTTTGCATCAGACACCCCCATCCAACTCAGCACTGGGCAGCACCATCCCTCCAAAGCTGCACATTCATGCAGGGCTTCAAAAGAAGGAGAAAATTCCCACCATGCTTCCCTGTCTCCTTTTTCACTGCCTTTCACAGCACATACAGGCAGAAGTCCCTGGTTAAAAGCATACTGTTAGCATGTGTTTAAAAGTCCTTCCAAGAATTGTGATTTTTAGCTCACAGTTTAAAAGAAAATGGAGAGCAACTGAAGGGAAACAGGAGATATATTGTGGATTGAGACTGCATCAGACACAATTCACTGCAGGAGGCTGGAGGCCATGCCAAAGCACCAGCAATGGAACAGAGAAATTTTTAGCGTGAGCTGTTACAAAATACCCTTAAAAAAAAAAAGACCTGAAAGTGGAAAGGTAGAGAACTGATGTAAAAACCTGATTCACCAAGGGCACAGGCTCAGAAGCAGCACTTTGGTTTATATTCCCACCACTCTCTGCTCACAAAGAGTGGGGAACATACCAACACAGTGACTGATAACTGCGCTCATAAAAAGGAATCCTGGATGTTGTTAAGCAATTGCTTTAGCAGAATGTCTGACCAAAAGGCTTACAGCTGCCAATGTTCCTTTTTCACTTGCAGGTTGGTCTCTGCAATGCCAGCAGATGAAAGGACATTCAGTTCCTGCTCTGAGCAGCATTTTCGTTTCCTCTGGGTCTTGTGGAGCTCCTGTGATTGACCAACTCACTCTGCAGCCATGCCTCCTCATCTTTTGGCATCTCAGACACCCACAGGTCAGTGGATTCTGGAATATTCTTTGAGACAAGTTGTTGGTTTTCTATCCTACAGCAGCCTTTTTTCTGGATGGTGGGGATTACAGCATTCCTGACCTCCCTTTTAGGGTCTGTGAAGCGGGACTCAAAGAGTGGTACTGTAGGCAAGGAGTAAATTGTATAGCAGCTACTGCAGCCATCCCATAATATTTTCCATCAGCACTTCACCAAAATTCCCTGGTATCTTTGGTGAGATAGAACAATGAGCCCTGTGGTGTTTCAGAGATCTTCTAGGACATTTTCCCGGGAAAGGTAGATCTCCACTGTGTCAGTTCTGCATGGCCTGGTTCTTTGTACTGGGGAGGGCCATAGAGGTGCCATTCTCCCCTTTGGTAACATTTTTTTTTTCTGATACCATGTCAAAGTTACTTGGAAATACAGTTGTATATTAGAAAAAAAAAATGCCATCACCTCTATTTATTTCCCCTTTGGTACAGAAAAGGAAAGACATTAACATTTCACAAAGAAGTCACTGGGTCTGAGCAGCACTTCCCATCTGATTACAAAAAACTGTGTTTGTTAATCAATAAGTCCAAGACTGATAAATGGTCAATTGGGAATTAACTTTTTCAGATAGAAGAAGCTGGTGCCAAACTAAAGGCTTTTGAGTTTCCTTATCATTAGAATGAGAGTTGCTATTTTTCTTGCAACCTTTATCATTATACTAGGCAGATCAAGATAGCCTGAACTCCATAGAACTTAAAATCCAAGCCCAAATCCAAATATCACAGCTTCTGCCTGTCTGTGTTTCTTGTGAGTTTGAAGTCATCAACGTTTGAGATAATTTTTCATGGCAGAACCCAAGAGTAGTATCAGAGCTGGCCTTTGCAAGAGAGCAGAACAGATCTGACTGGAGCCAGTAGAGACTGGCAGAAATGCTAAGGAGAATCTGTCACAGCTCAGCATCTGCTGGGACAGATAAAGCAAACCCAACTTGCATGAAAACGTGGGGAGGGAGTGAGGAAGATGTAAGAAAAGGATTAAAAACTAAGCAGAAGTATATTTATACACATAAGAATAATGCTGGTGTGTGCAACGCATGTATGAAAGCTAACAATACTCTGTTTAATCATTTTGTTAAACAATTTGGGGAGGTCAACTCAGGTCACAGAGCAGAGATATTGTGAGCACATAATGGAGAAGAAATCTCATAGGAAAGGGAAACGAGAAAGTCAAGTGAAAAGAGGGCATTTAACTTTTTGGGGAGGAATTCTTAAAAGAGATGGATAAGATAAGAAAACTAATGCAACCTGACTTCTTCATTTCTTATTAATGTGGAGCAAAAAATGTAATGAGGATATGTGAAAGATTACAACAAACATATTGCAGGGGCACCTAGGAGAGGGAGAAAATCCCTGAATCACTTGCCAAGTAGATAAGGAAGCTTTGATATAAAAATAGCAATGACTATCAGCTACAGATTCTTAGTACCTTTGTTCCATTACCAAAGAAAAGCCCATCAAGTGAGAGCTGGTATTTCTATTTTCATGTCTGATAACAGATCTACCTCAAAATGAGACCTCAGGCACTGGGGCACAGCTCACTGTACAGGATTTTTCCAGCACTCCCAGCCTTCATTTTAATACCCTGCACTTTAACAGCTGCAGAGCAAAATAAAAGCCTATCAAATGGAAAGTTAAAAACAAAAACCTCAGGTCAAAAACTCTGATTTTGGCAGTGTACTTCAGCAGTGGCCACATGCCAAAAGGAGTAGTCCCTGGGGTGCTGTGCCCTGTGCTGGGGTGGCACTGCTTGGCAGGAGCAGAGGGCAGAGCAGGGCTGCTCTGCTTCTGACAGCCTGGGACACCCAGGCTTCATCCCAGCTCACAGGGAAGCCCAGCAGAGACCAAGAGAGAAACTGCCAGCAGACAGAGGAGAAAAGCTCTTGGAGGTTTTTCCAGCAGCAGCAATCTCCTCTGGACTTCCCAGGGCACTAATCTGACCTCGTTTTCCCCATATTTAGCTGTGCCAGCCTGTCCCCTCCAGAAATCTCCATGGCTGATCAAAAGGAGGTAGGGCAGGGTGCTCCAGCAGCCTTGTGGTGTCTCTGGCCTCTCTGACAGCCCACACTGCAGAATTCAATCTTCCCCATTGTGCTGTCATGTCAAAATGAGAGGGAGTCGTGTGGAACTGCTCTGCAGCCATGTTACCCTTGTGAAAAATAAACAAGCTTCTTCTGGGTTTAATAGCCCACACTGCAGAATTTAATTTTCCCCATTGTGCTGTCATGTCAGAATGAGAGGGAGTCATGTGTGGAACAGCTCTGCAGCCATGTTACCCTTGTGAAAAATCAACAAGAAGCTTCTTCTGGGTTTAACACAACAGTGCTGAGCCTTAAGACCCTTAGTACGGTATTAACATTTCCATGATGCATTTTCAGAACTTTAACTGTAATAAAACAATGTGTTCCCCAGAGCACAAGACAACAGTTTTTAAGCCAAATAGAATTAATGAGGCTGAGTGATGTTTGCATCTTTCAGTATTCTCAGTCCTGTGAGCAGATATGTTTATGTTCAGCAATCTGAATACTACAGAAAACATTAATTTTTACCATATCACTTCAGCTGAGCTTGAGTTAAAGACTAAAAAATTTAGTGCTCTGCTTTATTATAACTAATATTACAGCTGGAAAAGAACTTTAGTTTCGTGTTCCCAGCTTCTTCAATTTTTTCACTTTTAAACACATATACATGTGCCAGCATATTTCACAGGCCTTTTGATGTTTTATTATCTCTGTATGTGGGTGGCTTGTTTCCAGCTATAGTTTGAAGTGCAAATTTCCCTCTCAGTTTTCCTATGTGAAGGTTAAAAATACAGTCATGAAATATCTGCCACATGTTTTCTTTCCTGGGTTTCTGAAGCAGAAATCTAAAACCAGGTACTTCTCTTCAAATATTTCTATTATTTTAAAAAACTGCTCCAACAAATAATTATATAACAATAAGCTGTTAAATAAACATAAAAAGATTCAAGGCCCATTGTCCCTAGATATTTCTCCATATCCCTGAAGAGTTAACTGTAATGTCTGCCCTGATAAAAATCTCTTGGGACCAACAAGCATAGCAGCAAAAGGAATCACAACGGGTTGGGGATTAACTCAGCATCTGCTGTTTGCAGCCCACTGTGTGCTTCTGGGGCTTTGCATCTTATTGTGACTCATATGGAAATGAGGAGATGGATCCCAAACAGAGCTTTGCTTTCAAAATCAGACATAAAATAATCTATTTCTTAAATGAACATTTCCCTCTGACATACTGAAAATGAACATGAAAGTGTTAGCTGTGAGTTATGCTTCATTTTTTATTCAGTGTTCTTGCAAAGCAGGACAGCATTTTCCCAGATCTGTTGGTCCATTGGTCAATGGCAGAAGCCAAACACTATAACGTGGCTCCTTGGAATTTTGCTGTCTAGGGACTTTTTAAATCATATCAGCTGTGCTGTACATGGCAGTGAAGAAAGGAGGAGGGAGCAGGTTAAGTATTTTGTTCTCTATGTCTGAAAAACAGAAGTGTTTTGTATGGAAATTAATGTTTAAAAGTAATCCCAGCGCCTTCAACCTTTAAGTGCTGTCAAAGATTAAAAAGGGTCAAAGGGAGCTCGCTGACTTTTGAAATTAGCACTTTTTCAAAAGACAAAAAGTTGCATAAGGGTCTTTCCAGCAAGCAGGTGTGAGCAGGGTGGTGCTGCCCCTGGGCCAGCCGGGCTGAGCCAGCTCGGGGCAGCCTGGCAAACCTTGCTGCTGGTGCAGGGCAGCAGTCAGTGATCACTTCTGCCTAGCAAAGGGCAGCAGGGAGAAAAGTGGGCTTTGCTCAGTCAGATTTTCTCCCTGTAACAATCTTGAGGCACTCTGTGTCCTTTATTACTGCAGTAGCCTTGTGAAGGACTTGTGCCTCTCATTGAAACAGTCAGACATTGAAAGAAAACAACTAAAAGGTAGATGTTTATTCTCAATTTCTTTAACTTCATGACTATGAAGGTGATCCCTTTTAAGTTTCATGAGAACAGACAGAAATGTGATTTTTCAGGTTGTAAATGCTCCTTTTAGAACAGAGCAGCAGCAGCAGCTGCAGAGGGGTGGTTCTGTGACCTGACCCAGCACTCCTGGTGTGCTGCTCCTTCTCCAAGAGGTGGCTGCTCTGCTGCTGCCAAGCATAGGCAAAATAGGTGCAACACCGATGATGATAAGGTGGGACTTTTTAAATCCATGCTGGCCAATGGTGATAGGAGTCTTAATCCAGCAATTGCTATGATGACAGAAGTGAATTCAAGCTGAAGATTGGTCTTTCCTCTACACCTTTGGATTCTTTTTGCTTTGTTAAGATTCTTAGTACTTTCCCCACAGACAGACTTTCTTTGGGAGTTTTGTGACTGCTTTTCCTTTCCTTACCTGTGACTTTCAATATCTTTTAGCCACTATTCTGTAGCTCATTTATTGCCACCACCTTCTTCCTCTTTCCTTTCTCTACCCTCTCTTTCAGCATGATGTGAACTGTGCATTTCCAGCTAGGCCAAACTGTAAGAGTGTGTCTTTTCATTTGTGGGAGATATGAAATATTAAAACAAACATTTTCCTGTTTCACTCTCAGTAAGAGCTTAAAGGAGCTATTACAGGGATTATTTTTCCTCTACTTACTGGAAAACAAAGATAAAAATGTAGCTTTCAAGTAGGTCATTTAATCTTGGAACATTTAATTGTGAGGTTGCCAGCCATGATTTGATTTCTCATCTTCTATTATTCCAAGGTTACAAACCTTCCAATTCATTTATATTTATAAACAATGTTCCCACTATATTACATGCATGGATTATTAGGAACACCTCCCAGTGGAGTACTGTCAACTTTTTGTACATAATTAATTAGAAGCCTCAAAGCCACCTTTTATCAAACTTTCACAGAGGTTTAGCATATCAGAAATCTCAAAATGAAAGAACTCTGTTTAGACCAAAGGGCTATCCAGCTTACTCAAGTAAGGAAATACTTTATATTTCATGGCATTTTTTAAAAAAAATTAAAAATAATTAAAGCCAAAGTGGAAATCACCTAGGGAAGAATGTGGCTGCCGTGATAACAGAATTGTATTTCACAGTAAAGGGAGCCAAACCCTGGCTCCAATTAACAGTCCAGTTCTGATAAAATAAGTCAAAGGAGAAAACAGCCTGACCAAAAGGATGATCCTGCCTGCAAAAGAATCGAGATGGGAGTAAGAACTGACCCCTAACAGTTAAACTCCTTATAAATCTTCCACAAGGTGGGAAAAGACAGCAAATGCAGTCAGTGCTCTGCCTACTTGCATGGCTTCTGATTTTTACAGTAGCTCCTCAGAGGCAAATTGAGCCTTTCAGCTTCAAATTAACTTGCAAAACTTTGGCTGGGAGGCCAGGCCAACCTCACACAGGCCCCGTGCCCATGGGAGCTCACACATTATCATCCTCATTTGGTACTTGCCACATGCAACACCTGAGAGCAGGTCTGGGATAGCTCTGCAGCACCTGGGGTGAGCTGGCTAGGAGCAGAAACACTCGTTTTCCATTGCATGCTCATTTCCTTGCCATCCTAACACATTCTGGATCACTATTTGTGAGCTCCCTGCCAGGGGAAGTGCCATGGTGAATGTGATTTATAGGCAGCAAACACCCCTTTGATTTGGACATCACCGGCGTGTAAAAATCAAATGCAAATTTCGCAGATTTCTCAAGAGCCAGTACTAATTAGCATTTTATTGGGAATTTTGGGGCATGACTTGTCACCTGTAAGAGCAGTTATTACTTTGCATAAATTTTGCTATGAAAGATAACATATCTGTAGAACTTAAAGACTTTTCCCTCTTCTTTCCCTTACCACAAATTACCCTGGGAACCAAGGTGGCATTGCAACAGGGGATACTGCTCATGATTTCACAAATTAGTGGCCTGGGCCCTGTCACAGAGCTGGATTATCTGGAATACAGCCAATGGTTACATTCCTACCATTCATTCTGATGCCCAGGAGATAACATGAACTCTGTATGTGAGACAAGCAAATCTTTCAACCACACTAAAAGATCATAATTACATAATATAATTTTTAACAGCAGATTGGAACCACTTCCCAGGATCAACAGCTTTGTGTTTTTCAAATGCTATATAAAGCAGCAAGACTAAGAGCTGAGTTTTCCTTCTCCTGATAGGTCGCGCTGATGCAGCAGCCCTTGAACTGAACAGACAGTTTCTCTCTAGAGAAAATCATATATTTAGTGTCCCAAATGGTAGGTTAGATGTCAGATTTAATTTGAAACCTGAGATGTTGTAATTCCAGAGAAACTGTTGGTAAAATGTTTCTGTTTAAACAAGAGGACATTGGTTTAATTGAGTTCTCTCGTTCTTCTTGGTATTATTTATTTTTAATGAGTAATGATTCCTAAAAAAAATAAATAAATTAAGAAGTCAAAGACTAGCAGGCTGAAGAGAAAGTTCCCTGTGGTACTAAAAGACAGTAAAATTCAAAGATTCTGTTGATAAAATCTTTATTCTTATCTGTGCTCTTAACACTGCCCAGGTACTATTACACTGTCTACAACAAAGAAAATTTCCTCTTCCCAGGGACTGAAACTGGAATTTTGATTTAATAAGATAGGAATGCAAACAACACACCTTGCAGCATTCTGAATAATTTACTACATTAACCTTGAATAGACTGATGCATTTTATATTGCATTTATCCTAACATGTACCTCTGCATCTCTTCTACACACAATAGCCAAAATCCACATGACAGTTCTACCAGAAATATCTTGGCCAGCTTAGAATCTTATACTTGTTTTACATCAGTGAATCAGCTCACCGTATTTTATGCATTCCAATTGTACATTTCTGCAGCTAGGGTCTTCATCTTGGGCTTCATTTATATTCAGTGGAGATCTAGTAAACAATTCTAGAACACAGGCTAAAATCCTTTAAATGTTAGTGATCCCCTTGTATCAAAGCAGTGAAAATTTTTATCTGTGTAAGTAGCAGAAGTAGAAAAGGCTTGGACATTGAAAACTTCCTTAATAATTTTCATAAAACATTGAGATTGTCTGAACTGCAGTAAAAAAAAAGCACTGATTGCCACTTCAAGGCTTCTAGTTGAAAGGAGAGGACATTGTTGTCTTTCTTTGTCCTGTGTAATGACTTGCAGAAATTCTGTAAACCCATTTTCTTTAAGAAAAAAAAAAAAAATCATTGCCATTAGTGTCTTTTGGGACACCTCATATAAATAGTTAAAATTGCCCTGCTTTACTCAGTTTAATTATTTATTTGGAGAATAATTACTTTAGATGTCACTTCCATTATCATGGAAGTTGTAAAGGATCCTGAAACTGAAACAAATACTGTCTTCTTGAGATCAGTGACCTTAGCATTACAGACACTATTTTAATTGTTGTTTCATTGCAGAACCCATCTAGAATATGAATGAAGGTGACTCTCAGACTGTCCTAAGATTTATTTTAGAAGAGTTAACAAAACCTACTGATAACAAGAGGTAAAGGATTTCCCATTGAAGATGCTTGTTTGTGCCTTTCAAAGTCTTGTAGAAAATAATGTATGCCTCAGCAGCAGTGGAATAGGTAAAAGAAATAGTATTAATGGGCAGTCAACATAAAATATGAATTTTATGATACAATATTGTTATTGAGGCTAGAATCAATGAGTTAATTGAATTAATTTCTTTCTTTTGAAACCTAATGCTCTCGTACATATGTGTGCAAAGTAGGTGCCTGCCAAAACCAACACTGAAAATGCTCCTATTCATTAAAGAAAGGCAAATTTATTTATTCAGTTTATTATATACTCAATTGATTTCCTAAGGGTTTGCACACAACTGCCCAGTTCTGTGAAACATCAACTTTGCCCACCTCCCAGAAGGACACCAAAGTTTTCACTAAACATATTGTTGCTGTTAAGGACTTTCACAACATTCATTGCCTGTCGCTGAACAGGAGAAAATGTGGACTGGGCCACACTGTCCAAACCAGCAGCCAGTCTCCAGCAGCAGCTGAAGGCAGATGGCCAGGGGGGAAATGAGGACCATGGCACAAAGTCTGACATTTCCCCTCTCAGTCCCTCAGCTCCCAACCATCCACAGCCCAGGGGTTGCTGGAGCTGGGTGCACTCTTTGCTCTCAATCATGTCCACTGCACATCCCACAATGTGCTGAGTCCCCCTTCAGCCAAGGAAACATTCAGCTTTCAGGTCTTTTAGCCCAAGACCCATCCTCTCCAGCCTCTCCAGTAACTGTGTTCTGTCCTGGCAGATTTTGCAGCTGTGCCTAATTAACCATTACAGTCTTCATTTCTAATTCTGTGCCACTCTTCCTTGTCACATCCTCCTCCATGCACAGCATATTTGCACTCACAAATTTATGCTTTGTTATTCAGTGTTGTCTGGATTTGTATTTTGGTGCTTATGAACTTGGAGCGACTCTTTATTCCTGGAATACTAATGCAGAATTGCTGAATTGAAAGTGTCCAGGCATAAAACTGGTTTGTTCCATAGGTTAAAGACAGGTCTTTCCCTCTACCCAGAAAATCAACATTGTCACCATCTCAATATTATTCCTCAAAAGATCCTTCCATACCACAGAGATTAAGAAGGATACCTTTAGGTACAAACTGAGGGGTTTTTTTCTTAGTCAGCAAAGATTCTACTATCTGCCCTTACTTACATAAGGTTCACTTCCACACCTACCTTGAGTATCTTTAGCTCAGTTTGGCAGATTAAAACATTTATGGCCAAGTTTTGTGCTATTTCTGTCAGAAGTCAACTTTCTAATTTCTCAACACATAAAATGTTGTTTTTCCAACCATCTTTCAAGACTTACTATATTTGATTTGAAATCTTCTCTACTCATTTACTATATGCCATCTTTCTTATTGCAACCACAATACCATCTGTGCTGAGATTTGTTACATGAGGTTTTTGCTTTGGATATCAACTATTTCTATAAAATATCACTTGAAATCAATTAGTCACTTTGGACATAAAGATAAACTAAACAAACAGTTCCATCTATCTTCCTATGCTTTTTTTTCCCTTTAGCTTTATGGTATTTTGAGAAGCACCAGATTTGCTTGATGAATGGTTGCCTATTTAATGATAAAAGATAAAAATTCTGTAACAGCAGTTGGGGGGGAAAATACAGGGAGAAAATAGATGGCTCTTCTCATCATCATCATCCCAAATGAAGGAAAATGTCCTTCAGGCTGGACTAGTGACCAAGAGTCAGCTCTGCATCTGTCTGTGGGGGTGCTGTCAGCCACGGGACGATGACTGAAGGGGATCCCATCCCACTCAGGGGGCAGGCCCAGGTCCCAGCCAGGAGAAACTCCTGGGGCAGGGATGAGAACACAGTTACAGACGCAGCAGAGCCAAGGGGGGGAATTGGGAAGGTAGCTCAGGGTCTGCATTTTTATGCAGGCAGGAACAGAAATTACAGAGGCCAATGGCAAGCCTTTTCCTTAAATCAAGTTAAAGATTGTCTTTTCACTCTGCTGCCAAACTAAATGTTCAAAAATCATAAATCAGTATCCCAAGTATGACAAGTCGAACTTCAAAAAGCAGGAACTTAAAAGTATTGGCCATCTTTGACCCTGAACACCATCACAATAAGGTTTCTGAGGCCCTCAGGAACATCAGCATTACATGTCTGAGCTCCTGTAGCTGCAACAGCTACAGATTTCACTGGAATCCCTTTGGGCTTATTTCCACACTCATATTATTGGATCTCTCCACAAAGTGGGACTTTAATATCACACAATTCCTTGACAACAGACTTCCAGGGACCCCAGTGACATTAGACAGCCATTCTAGGGCCTGTGGGCTTCTCTGACCTTCATTGGGCCACAAATTAGCCAAGGATTGCTCCTCCCTCTGCTCCTGCCAAAAACCTCTCCATGAACTCCCCGTCAGTATTTACTCTGGCTTGGATACTCTGCCTGTGTGTGAAATGGGAGTTCCACCTGTGTCCTCACAACCAGATTAATCTCATTTTAGCACAGATAGCTGCGCTAGGAAGGGAGCTCCAACCTGCCAAGTCCTGGCCACTGTGCAGAGCAGACATTGTGACTGCAGAGGAAGCTGGGCCAGGGAAGAGGTCTGGTTGAAAAAGTGACCTGACACAAAATTCCCAGATCCTTTAGAGCAGTGGCTCCGTGAGGTGGCTCCCTGAACAATCCTTCAGCCATTAATGCCAGCACAAAGGAGATCCCAGGGACACAGAGACTTCCCTCTAGTCTGCACTTAGATGCAGTTAAATTGCAGTCATGGAAACAAACATAAATTCCCTGAGGTCATTTGACGGTCCTGCAAGTTTTTCTGCCATGGTTAGAGCTCAAGCTGTTTTTAAAGAGACCACAAATATAGAATGAGGAAATATGGATATTATACTTTTTCTTTCAAGTGTTTTCAGTTAGATCTTCAGATTGCAAAACCTTCAGGGCAGGGCTCACCCATCTTTCTGCATCTTCAGAAAGAGCTTACTTGGCCTTTCAAATAAACACACTGGGTAATATGAAAAACGGAGAGGACAGTGTTGCTGTCATGTCTGGTAGAGGCCCAGATAAAGTTTGCTCCTCTTATCATAATGAATAACTGCATTTTGCACAAATGAGAGCTAGAAATGGCCCTTCTTAACCTATGGACAATTATACAAAATGAACCAAAACCACACCTATTAACAATCATGAAGGATCCTTCCTGACTAAATCAGCTTAATCTCACTGTCCCCTGAAAGAAAGTTTGTGTAGCCTGCAGGTCACCTCCATGCTAGTTTTTCTTCTTCCTCCCTGAGTACATGCAGTTTAGACCACTGATATGAACTTTACAGGGTTGCAGATTTTGGGGCATACCACTAAAAATGAAGGATTTGGGAAGTAAAAGAACAAGCTGTTGGAGTATAACAGTTTACATTCACCCATTAATTCTCAAAAATCACAAAAATGTACACTCTGTGGACCAGCTTTTACTAAATGCCAGGAAAACAAAGATGTTGTTTTAAGCAACTTGGTGCATGCAATGAAACAGAACCTAACCTTAAAGGGGTTTGGGGTTGTTTTTTTCCTGAAATCTGACAGATATTGAGAAAGAGTTTTAGTGAGAATGCCTCAATCTGGGGTTTTCCCAGTACATTTTTTGTAAGCCACGAAGTATGAATGAAAGGAAATTGTAGCCTCAGCTGTGTCCCCCTTGGTCATCCCAAAGTCCCCAGGCAGGGCCACAATAGGTGTGCTCACAGGGTGCTCAAAGGGGGCTCACAGCTATGGTGCACCACTGCTGTCCACAGGTACATCAGGTACACCTTTTCTTTAGGCATGGACTTGGATTTATGCATCAGGACCAAAGCAAATCAGCAGAGGTCTCTGGGTGCCAGTGAAATGATAACAACATTATCACCAAGCCCATGTTTGTTATTTTTTGCCAGATACCTTACATAAATGAAAGTTAAATCTTCTTATAGACCCTCAAACCATAGACCTTCATTTGAGATTAACACAACGCCATATTTTGAAAAATAATTCAATAATTTAAGAGTAATTCAATGGTTAGAAGTAGCTTAGTAGATCTTTTTCTTGAGAAACCTCACCAAGTGGCATCTACTCACAAAAGCAGCACAAGACAATGTAACCACATCTTTAATTTGCTGCTACTACTGAATAGGTTGGTTTGTCCTGTGCTTTTATTTTACAGTAGCTTTGATTACACTTTTCTATATAAAGTCTGCATCTGACAGCGTGGAACACATTTATCTGAAGTATGGAAAGAAATAACAGTAATAGGATCTCCTGCTTGTATGTGAGAGAGTGGATGAGAACATAACAAATTCACCTGTGCCATTACCTCTCTGAAGAAAAAGTCAGAATTTGAGCTGCAGTGACCTTGTGGTCACAAAGATCACAAATTGCAAGACAGAAGGTGTGGAAAGGATAGGGCTGCAGTTAGACAGGTGTACATTGTTACAATACATCCTGCAGTTGTATATCCAAAACTAGTTCTCTTAAGACAGAAATCAGGCTTCCTCTCATGTCGTTCAATAGTTTACAAAATACAACTGACAATAATTCACACAGTTGTTCAGCGGCAGTAAGGGAAGTATCACTTCATTTAAAGACCTAGACCCCAGGAAGAAAATGCAGGAAGTGCCAAAAATACAGACATTACCAACTTGCCCAGATGAATTTGGCACAGCCCTTCACAAAATACAGGAAAAGTCTTTTTTAAGGGAGTTGCAGCTGAAGCCAAACGGAATTTAGTAATATTGACAGGAATGTTATGGTAAAGTAAGGATTTTCCTTGAATTTGAATTTTGATTTTCCTTGATAGTAAGGAAAACCAAAGTTCTAGCATATGTAGAGAAATATGCTTTGTGAACTAAACTAATAGAAATGTTCCTATTTAACAAATTAGTAATACATCCAATGCTGTTTGCTTTTGTCATTATAAACCAAGTTACATCCTGTCTGGACTGAGCTGTGTGACTACTAAGAGAGATCCCTGTCTTGTAGGGATTCCTAA